TAACATGCTTCTCTCATCTTTATAGTCTAAATATTGATTTTAATTCTGTAAATTCCAATGATCTTTACGAAATGGCACAAATTTGCAAAATTTGAATGAATTAATTGTTGATAATTGTTCTCAAAATATTCCTGGATTGATTTATTTAATCGACGAACAAAGAAATCCGGCTCGAATTTTGGCTTGGCTCGGCCCGAGCCGGCTCGTGCGGAGCTTTAATTATTACACATTCATATTAACGTCACTTACCAATCTAAAAGAATTACAGATTTATCATGATTAAATTTCATTAATATTTAACAATTTCAGAATTTCCAGATCTTCGGACCCTTAGTTTCGACAATTTACCATATTCGAAATTTAAAAACCTTGCAATGTTAATCGAGAAAACCAAAGGAAATATCTTGAGTGTCTATGTTAGAATATTGCTGATAATTGTCCAAAGATTGAGAATTTAGATACATATTGTGTATCTAAAGTTTTGATTTATGCAAACTATTATTATCATTGAATTGTAGTAATTTAACATATTTAAGTCTCATGATTTTGAATGAGAATAATAAATGAATTATTAGATATTTTAACTAAATTTTCACCAAAATCATAGACCTTACTGTAAATCGAAATTATTCAATTGATGTTCTTGAAAGATTTCTTGAAAGTTATAGAGGACTAAAACTACTTAGTTTTAATATTTATTATAAAAGAAATACTAAATTGTTCGTAAATACATTGCTGAAGGAATAGTTGAATGTTTAAATATTAACAAGAATTTTTTGTTTTTTTTAACGGAGAAATCGGCACTTAACAAAAACTGCGTACTAGCCATTTTTGGTAATAATTTGCATAAATCGGCATTATTAAATTTCTCTCGTTAAGGTGACGTCTTCTCAAATGATTATTAATTAAAAATGCTGAATGCGGTAACAGATAATGTCAATCCTAGCCAAGCCACTCACGAAGTTTAGCGTTGTCAAAGTTCAAATTCTTTGACTTTACTTTGGAAGAACGTGGCATTCCAGCTGTAAATTTAATAAGTTTAATAAGTTTGTACATTAAATAAAATATTTTGACCTGTATTTTATTTTTATTTAGTTTTGTTTAATTTATAAACTTTAGTTTAATTAGTTATTTATTGGTAATTTTCTTGTTTCTTAATAGTGAAAATATATTTATCTTTTCCATTTATTTTAGTTATTTAGGCTTATAATTAGGAGTCTTAGTAGTCTTAGTATGGCTTTAATAATCATATTCCTTTTATTTTTTTTTTGTAGGTTTCATTTTTTTTGGACTTGAGTGCTTTGGAATTCTTGGAAAAGTAAGTAAACATACTTTTTTTAGTGTAAATTATTATTAGTTACTAATATTCCTTTTGTTTTTTATGTAGATTTCGTTACTATACGTCTTAAATTTCGGATTACTTTAAAGTAACTATACGAATAGATTTTTTTAAGGCTGTTAATAAAATTTTTAGTTACTAACATATTTGTTTTTTTTTCAGTAGATCTCAGTTTTAGGTTTCGGTCCTTTTCTTTATAAATTATGTAAAAAATAGTGTTTTTTAAAAAATTAAATGGTTTCTACTGTATTTATGTACATATACCATAATATTGATCTTGTAAATATCCCTCTCGGCCAGAAAATTATTTTATACTGTCTTTTTTTGGTTTATTGAAAAAAACTTATAATAAAGAACGCGGCATTCCAAACGGTTTTTTTATTAATTGACGATCCGCGAGTCAACTAGAGAAATTATATATAAAATTTGACGCAGATCATATACTAATTTGTCGCAATACGCTGACTTTAATGATTTCTGATGTAACAAAAACTATAACTGATAACACAAACAATAAAGTAAATGTCACACTTTTATTTTTCAAAGCCACCAAGCGTAAAACCTTTTTTTGACGAAGTTTACCTTGGAAGCACGCGGCATTTACTATGTTATTAGGTAAACTAAGGTTTAAAAGTACAAATTATGGAAATTTTTTTATATTTCACTAAAATTTCATGCATATTTGCTTTATTTTTGATATATTTTATAAGTAAACTATGCTGCAATAACTTTTAACCTGACAAATTCAAATTTTTTTCACACTCATTATACAAGTGATATGGTATGATAAAGCTAGTTTTTGTCTTTCAAATCTCAGATCTCTTAGAAATTGGACTTTTTCCAACGTTACATTATGGTTTTTTTGCATGAGATTGGTGGGAAAACTGTGGAAAACCATTTCATTAAAGCAAAATGGCGTTATTTAAACATTTGGCTAGTGAAATTCACGAACAACTCCACATTCAGAAATGTGGCTTTTAATTAATAAATTCCGTCAAATTTTATTATCATTTTCGCTACTTGACTCGCGGATCACCAATTAATGCAAAGCCCGTAAATTTAATTATAGAACGATTTTATCCTGCTGAGTGGTGATCGATCTTTTAAAAAAAAAGATCCTAGAATATTCGCTCTTTATTCTTATTGATCATTTAATATAATTTTTGCCAATTTTTTCTTTTTCAAAGACATTTAACAATTTAGTATCCATATATAATTAAAGTTCTCTCTTTTGTAGATTATCGAGATCATATAGGTTCAATAATTGGAGGGAAAATTCAAATGTACGTCAAATTGTGACTTCAAATATTCTCACTTTCGAATTACAAAAAATATTCTAATAAAGTTGAGGAGAAAGTGATAATTATAGAGTATTCGACAATTGGAGAGAAAAGCACTTATATACTTTCTTGGTGTTTTCTTTATTAATTATTGAAGCGATATCAAAGTATGAGTATTTGAAACAGGAATGTGGCAACGATGTCATTCTCTACCTAGTTTGACCCAAAATATACATAACGTGCAGCTAACCAAAAAAATTATCATGAAAATCTTTCCTTTTTATATAATTCCTGGCAGAAAGCTATTGCCTTTATTGTATGCTGACCGAAACTATCATAATTCCGGCCCTGAAAAATTGCGTACAGCTAATATAAAAACTTTTTTGACCTTATTTTATATATCATATGTATTTCGGATCCTCTTCTAGCACAATAAGAAGATTGTATAGAATATAAAAAACAATAATATGCAAACATGCAAATTGTTCAGATAGTGAGATTAATTGCAAATAGTCGTTTTCTAACGATAGTTTTGTAAAAATAATGATGCAATAATAGTAAAAATCATCGTACATCAAGTTAAGATAGGAAATATGACCTAAAATTCTTGATTTATTTTCTTTTTCGAAAAGATCTTTCGATAAAGAATGTTATTACATAAACCTCAGCGTTGCGCAAAGGTAAGTTCATCTTAGCGAGAGAACATTAAACTAAATTGAAAGAAAATATTATCAAGTACTGTACTTAAATCACAAAATAATTTTTTTTGCAGTAATTATCTTTTACTTTCATGGAAGCTATCATTAATACAAAATACATCATACTTCCAAATTCAGTAGTCATCTCATGTGATGAAGACAAATTATTAAGTGATAAATCAAAGAAAATTATTTATTATAATATTTTATTCAAAGTTATTCAAGAAAAAAAAGAAAATGATGAAATGAACAAAAAAGAATTTTGTAATAATAAGATATACTGTAGGCAGTTTAGAATGAAAATAGAAATATAATAACTTTTTTTTATTTTAAAAAATTAATTTCATGATCTAATCCCATGTTTTTCTCATAAATGCAGAATGTAAGAATTTACAGTTACAAAAAATTTAATAAAAAACTCGGATTGGGTCGTTATACTTATATGGAGATATCTTCGATTGCCATTTTTTCATGATGATTATTGGTTAAGTATAGCTGAGTGTATTTATTTATATACTATAGACAACAAAACACACGAGCTAAAATAAGGTGAAATAAAATTCTTTTTAATTGTCCTAATCATAACGTTACTTTTAACTTTTAAGAGTTTGAGTTAAAAAATTATTGCCACGTGAGCATCATAAGTTCACTGTGGCAAATTTGACGCTAACATGAGATTGGTATGTCGTAATTTAGTTGTCCTTAGCATAAAAATAATCTGGCAATCCTGACTATACCCTCGCCATGGCACCATTTATAAAACTCTTATTTAACGATATAAATAAAAAGAATAAACGTGAAAAAAATACATTAAAATTAAGCCTTTTCGGCTTCATATTCATAAATTTGATCGAGCAACATTAAAATGGTAATATAAGAGAGAAAATAAGTCGATTATATCGATAAAAATAAATTATAATAATTTAATATACAAATGCTACAGTTGAAAAAAAATAACCAAAGATTGATCATCAATAATAATAATCATAATTTCACGAATAATTACTATTTTTAGTTAATAATAATGTTGAACAAATTAAATTACTGTATACAGTACAACATAATAATTCATAATTAAAATTATGTTATATTTCTTTCATGATTTTACAAAATACGATTATGGAAACGATATATATATTTACCAAAAAAAAAAAAAATTTTAAAAAAAAATTTGTATATTTTGTATATTTTGTACTACCTGTAATATAATTTTATGTCCGGCCCTTTATTTAACCGAAACAACTGAAAACGATATTCACATGACATTAATTATATATATTTGTTTAGACTAATTTTTTACATGATTCTCATGATCGTTCTTTTTTTCCAAATTATTAATTGAAACAAATGTCGGAAAAAGAAAATTGTCAAGATACCACAGAATGTGATAAAAGTAATACTTTAATTAATGAATGTGTAGTGTCCAACTTGGAGGAAAATATTGCCCTAGTCACAATAAGTAGCCCAGTGAATAGTTTGGAAGAAAATGATACGTCATTCACATTAGGTGGATGGAATTTCCCAGTTAGTTATTTGGAAGAAAGTGATACTCCAGTTACAATAGGTGGTTGGGATTTTCCAATGAATGATCTGGAAGAAAGTAATTGGGACACTCCATTTAATTGGGAAGAATGTTATGCCTCACTATTGAATGTTACCGAAAGTTTCAGATTTGAAATCGAGGAAATCGAAAAAAAATATGAACTAGAAAAAGAACAGATTGAAAGAATATACGAACTAGAAAAAGAGCAGGTCGAGAGAAAATATGAACTAGAAAAAGAAAAAGTTAAAAGAAAATACAACAGATTGAAAAACGAGAGAATTGAAAGAAAATATGAACTAGAAAAAGAACGGGTTGAAAAAAATTATGAACTAGAAAAAGAACAGGCTGAAAGTACATACGAACTAGAAAAATTACAGGTTGAAAGAAAATACGAACTGATTGAAAAAAAATTCGGCAGATTAAAAATCGAAAGAATCAAAAAAATGTACGAATTAGAAAAAGAACAAGTAGGTTAATTTGTGCAAATATATATACATATATGTGTAGTGAATTTCATTTCAGAGAATTATCTTTACATTCTGTTAATATTTATCTCATAGATTATCGAAATTGTCCGTAACCTAGTCCATAATAAGAGTTATATAGTTCATGGCTATTGGTTTTGTCATCAATGGAAATGCGAACACAAAAAGCCGCTGCAATGTATATCAAGAGAAAAATGCGAATACAGAAATAAGTTAGATGATTTGCAATTATTATATAGTGGTAAATGTAAACACAAATCACAATGCCAAAGTGTAATGGAGTGTCGAAATAAATTTAAAAGGAAATGGCAAACTGAAAACAATTGCAAACTCGAATGGCGAAAACGGTATGATCAAGAATTACTTAAAAAGAGTCTAGAAGTAATTTCGGAAAGGCGGACAGGATGGTTAGAATTTTTTCAGGCTTGCGAAAATAATCATGAAAACCTGATTTCGAGTTTCTTATTGTACACGTCAGAAAATTCAAATGTAGGTCAAGTTGTGATTGCAAATATTTTTGTTTTTGAAATGCAAAAAAAATTCTACTAAAATTTGTCACTCAATAGAAGCCCGATCTAGAGATAATCCGCCACCTAGTATGGAATCACTATTACAGAGTATTCGGTAATTGGAAGTGTTCGCGTTGTCAAAAGAAATGGAGGAGCGCCTATACTTGGATATCGCTTCAAAAGTTTATAACGAAAGCTACAGGAAAACAATGTTTAAAGGGTGATTATGTTATGCAGAAGTGCAAGGAACGAACGTGCGGTAACGATGGCATTATCTCGAGTTACAAACCTTTAGTACGATCGGAGAGTGGAGAGCACAAAAGGCATTTATGTGAAAAATGTAAGCGTGGCTATGAGTGTTTTGAAAGCGGCACCTACTTTGGATATCAGTACATATGATGCCAAATTATAGTAATAATACAGTACAAGCTAGTCAGGAAAGAATTTATGATTTTTTTTATCAAATATTTTTTTGCTCATTGTATTTTTGGTAAAATTGGCAAGGGTTGTTTTGCTTTCTTTATTTACTAATACTATATATAACACTATCATTGTTCAATTGGCTTGAGTCCATGCTCGGCTGACGAGTTCAACCGAATGTTGTGTTCTGTTAATGAAATTTTTTTTTCAATTATTATTCTTTTAAATAAAATCTTCTTATTTCTTTATTCTAAATATAATACGTTTCATGATTGTTTTTTTATATGGGTTGACACTTGAGAAAGGTGAATTGCTGATTGTGACGAAAAAATTAAATTTAGTACTTACAACAATTTTTTTACATTATAAAAAGTCGTACGACGATATGAATGTGCGCTTACTTCAAATAATTGTTTAACCAAAATTTTTAAATTCATCATTTAAACAAGACGAACTTTCATTTAATATATTCAGGCTATTTAGACTAGTATTTTCGAAAACGCTTCTGTCAAATTACCGTTGAAGCTCATATCAAATAAGAAATGGATTATGGTAATATTTTAAAACTATGACCTATTTATCGATATCCTTATTCCATTGTACATTATCATGAATGGAATACCATAATGAAATATCTCGGATTCAAAATCAATTTTGTTTTATGTTGACTTTTGGGTATACTTATAATTAAATATTACGTTCTCTTTATAAAAAGCAATAAATAAATAAATATATATAAAAATTATACACTGAGTAATGTACTGTATATACCAGTTAGATTTCCAAGTAATATAAAATCCTTTCAATACTTGTTTGTTTCTAGTTGGAACTATCTCCAATTATGAGATTTATTATCAACTTCAACACCGAATAGTTTCAACTAACGATCGATTAGTACGTTCGTTGTAAGAGGTTTTACAAGTTGATCTTCCAGTTCATAGGAACTCTTATATCAATGTATTATAATTGTAACCTGCTGCTCTAGTATCATAAATTTTTTCTCAAGTTTGCGAAGAAAGGCTTCAAAATGACCACGAACAATAACACGTTCTCTTTGTACATTGGAAAGTTGCTATTTAAGACGAAAAAGATCGACCGTCAGGATAATAAATGTAAATGTTGAGAAATGATCGTGAAAATTACAGTTAATTAGTGTGAGTGGAAGCTTAATTTCTTTTCGTTGCTATATATTTTTTGTTAACAGAACGAGAAGACGACCGTTTTATTTTATTTTATGCAAAGATTAACACATATTAATTGATTTTAGGTTTCAATACACTAAATCAAAAATACGGTATTTTGTTTTATCCGCTTATACTTATTTTTGTGTTACAGCGCTTTAAAATGGTTACTAAGAATTGTGGCGTACGTGTAAAGTTATAAAGATTTAATATTTTAAAAAAGGTCTTTCGACTGAGCGGTGCGTCATTTTTCCTTAATTGTTTAAAAAAGTTTAAAATCCTCAAATAAAAAACGTAATTCACGTGACTACGAATCAATAAAATTAATCGAATTAGATTTAACTAAATAGAGAATAAACTAATATTTAATGTTATTCCCTATTTTAGTCACTTTCCCACCAAAGCACCAACTCTTTTTTGAAAAAAAAGAAAAATACATTCGTATTTCGTAATTGCAGAAATATGTTAAATCATGGAGAATATCTTTAATAATAAAGAAGTTAGCGTTAAATGGGATGAAAATTGTGGTAAAAGAGGAAATGAAAATGCTGAAAAAGAATTATTTTTACAGATTCCGATTATGAGAATACGTAAGAGGTCCGAAGAACGAGAACGAGAGGAACAACAACAAGTAAGTAGTTAAATTAATTATGAATTCATGATATCGTTCACATATTACACAGAACAAATAATGTAAAAGTTTTTAGTGAAATAAAAAAATTTCTAATTTTTTCCCCCTAGATTATCGAAATCATCCGTCACTTAGTAAATAACAATAATTATATAGTACATGGGTATTGGTTATGTGAAAAGAAACATGAATGGAAAATTCAATATACAAACGATATACTCAGAAAGTATCTGGAAATTCCGAAAATTATGTACAGTTTTTTTTTGGAAGCGCTGTGAGAAATGTAATAAAGATGACGGAACGAGAAAAATGAATTTAATCACGAGTTTTCGGCTGCAATGTCCATCATACAATTCGAAAGGGAGTTTACCTTTTTTTAAATACGGTGCGAAAATTTTTTGTATTGTACTATACTAAAAAAATTAAAACTTTTATAGAAAGATCCCACCATCGAAATAACCCGTCACTTGGAATGGAATAATCATTATAGAGTTTTCGGCAATTGGAAATGCTTGAATTGTCAAAATAGATGGAGTAGCGCTTATACTTGGGTTTCACTTCAAAAGTTTATAGAACAAAAGCATTTGGTTCAAGGCGATTTTTTTATGCAAAATTGTAAGAAATGTAAGAAAAATAATAATGATAACTGCACCATCTCTAATTACAAACCTCTTGAATTATCGGACAGCGAAAAGCCTCATATAAGAAAATTATGTGCAAAATGTCAACATGGAGCAACTTGTCGACATCTACCAGAATTACGTAGTGAATATTTCTCAATCTAAGTTGTTAATTATTTTGTAACATACTTCTAATATTCTTTTTCGTAAAGCACGCGTTTCTTTATTATAACCATATAACCATTTTTTTTTAACATTCATATATATTTTATACATAACCTTTTTAACGTTCTTTTTACTTTTCTTTATTATATATTTAGCTTAAATGCATCGAAATATTTTGAAACTTTGTTTAAATTAAATATTAAATAAATACAAATATTGAATATCAATTGGTTAAAAATAAATATTTATTATAGGATTTTCATTCGTTCGTTTCAATATTGAATTTCAAGTTAGTCTGTTATAAAATTTCAAATCAACTCAATGAATGATTAGTATTTATAGTAATTTCTAAGTTAAAAATTAATTAAATATATATTTATATATATATTAAGAAAAGTTAATTATTACATAAAATTTTATGTAAAGCATAATCTGCATTAATCATGCGATAATTTACGTTGGTTAACGTTACGGAGTGACGTTTAACAAATATATAATCATATTATTTACAATCACTCGATAACTACGAAGATATGGTTATAACTTATAAGATGTGAATGAATTGGGCGTGATTATATATATTATATTTATTGGTTGGAAAGTCTTTTTTTTTTTATTTCTTTATAAAAAAAAAACAACCAATCACTTTTGAGTTCATATACAGAAGAAAGAAAAAAAAAATGTTTGTGTACAAACTTAGATAGTTGAATAAAGTTTTTTTTTTTCATTTGTCAGTTGGGTGAGAATCTGTCTTAGCAGTGTAACCAAGTCCGAAAAAATCATGGAATCAATCCTAAAACCTGGCTTAATAATGCATAATTATTGGACTATACTATCACTAAAAATGTTAACTCAAACCAATAAAATTTAAAAAAAATTTTACGCAATTAATAATATTTGAATATTTTTTTTTTTTTTTTTTTGATCATAAAGCTATTATATAACAAAAGAAATTTATATATAATTATAAATGTTTTGCAAGTTTTAAAAATAAATAGTTAATTTTTATANTAAAAAAAAAAAAAAAAATAACTTATGTTTACATGGAATAAAATTTAAAGTTTGTCACACTTTAAAAAAAAAATCTTGTTTACAATATATTTAATAACAAATGTAACGATAAACATATTATATAATTGGTCCTATGGAAAAATTTGTACATACGGATTGAGAATTTATATCTATATCCGTTGCCAGATAATATTTGTTTTTGTACCCCATTGTTTTTCGCATACAGTATCATAAATACCGGGTAGAAAACGGTAAATAATTTAAATATATTATTATTAACAATATCAGATATATATTGGAAAATCTGGATAAAATTAGACAAATATGAAAAGTAAGAAATGTTACGATTAATTTTGATGTGTCACATTTTTTTTAAAAAAAAGGAAAAATTTTTTTTTTAAAAATTTTTTTCAAAAAAAAAAAAACCGCGGATTTTATTGAGATCTTGAATTTATTCCGAGGTGCAGTACAAAAACTTTATATATAATAATAATCCTGTAACTATGGCGACATTAACTTGTGCCAATAGATAATAATAAAAAACTTTAGATCGTTAAAAGCATTGGTCATATCAAGATCACATTATGTTGCATGTGTTGTTTTATTTGTATAACAATTGTAATATAAAAATTCAAAATATCGACAAATTGAACCGAATATGGAAATTTTGATCACATTTATTTTTTTTAATATTAATTATTATATAATTATAAAATAAATGGTATTAATAATTGGATTGAAATTAAAAATAGATTACAAACAAATATATATAGATTAATTTTAACATTGGTAATTTAAAAAAAAACGAACGAAAATAATAATAAAAAAAAATAAATAAATAATAAAGTAAATCAAACATTTCAATTCATAATAATTATTTTTTTAAATTAATTTCTTCCGGTCATTACTTAATATATCTATTTAATGAATGTTTTTAACGTAAAAAAGCGATTAAATTCAAAATAATGTAATAAATAATATTTTACTGCGGTACGTGTATCCCCTGTTTAAAGAAAATTAACCGCAGTAGAAATATATTTATTTTTAAGTAAGAATCAGCAATAATTTTTGGTACGGCGTATAAATTAAGTTCTCCGCTTAAAACTTCGAACAATGAATAAATTATAAATTAATTAATTAAAACTTCGGAACTTCCATATATATACATATATACATATATATATTTGAGTTACTACTTTAAGATAAATTATTCGAATGGGAAAAATTGGTAAAATGTCAATTTTTAATTGTTTCGCAATATAATTTTAAATTAATTAAAATAATTCAATTTACTTTATTTATTAAAATTCGGGTTTTATATATTTGTAAATCTGTAACTTATAAAATGTACGCTTACATAAAGTACATACAATAATACAATACATACTATATTACAAATTCTTGTATTTTCGTAACATTGATCTTTATGCACTTAATAAACTTGCATAAACAAAGACATTTGAACTTTTTTAATTTAATTATGTAAGTACTTTGATGTACTTGTATTATTTTTTTTTTTTTACCTTTCTGCTAAAGGAATATTCATAAAAAATTTCATCTTATTATTTAAAGCATAATTAATTAATTACCCACACAATTATTATGTGCAGTAATAATAAACTTAAAAAAAAGAAATTATTTTTCCTTAATAAAAAAAGAGAAAGAAGAAAAGAAAGAAAAAGTAAAGAAAAGAAAGAAAAATTTTATTTTTCTTCAATTACTTTACTTTCCATATCAGGTTGAAATTCTTCTTTTTTGGCCCAAATTCTATGAACTTTATCATAACCATTATTCTCACTTAATTCTTTAACACATTTATCAACAATTAAATCCCAATCGGTTTCAGAATTACCGCAGTCTTTTATCGCCTTTTTTAAATTCTTTGCTCCCCATTTATAAATAAATTCATAAAATTTGCCTATATTACCACCCCATTCACCAATTGGAACACATCTTTCTGCGTGATTAATTTCTGAAAAATGTTTCGTTTCAGAAATAAATTGTTGAATTTTTGGTGAAATTATTGTTTCAACATTCTTTTTCGTTCTTAATTCTTCTGCGACTATTAAAAGAAAAAAAATTATTATAAATAAATAAATATAAAGATATAAAATGCATATAAATATAAACTTGAATTACTTACACCATGATCTTGCCTTCTTTGTAAAGTTTCCTTCATTCCAAAATTGAATATCTTTTTCCATAAATTCTATATAACCGCCAACTTTACAAACTCTAGTGATTTCTTTAATTACAAATTCCCAATCTTTTAATGTGAAGGCAAAAATCATAAATCTGCAGAAAACGTAATCAAATGTGTTATCTGCATATGGTAAGCCATTTAATATATTTGCTTGAAGAAATTCAACATTATGTGGCTTCGTATGAATCGGATACGTAGGTGCAATATCAATACCCGTAAATCTTGATCTTTGGTATTCTGTAGCTACCTCTAATGTCCAAGTTGCGGGTCCGCATCTGTTTTAAAAAAAAAAGCGTAAGTATTTTTTAATTTTTTGTTAAATTATTCCAAAAATTCCAAAAATCAAAATTAAAAACTTACCCGATATCAAGTATTTGTGAACCATGTGAATTTAATAAATCATGTACGGGAGCAGAGAAATTATTATCCCAAATATAACGATAAATATAATGATGATCTTGTATTCTATCACTTTCATTGTCATCAACAGGGTATAAATAATTTACATTATTTAAATTTGGATATCTGCGGTTTTCTTTATAATAAAATATCTTAGAATTTGGTGGTGGCAAAGGATCGTAATAATTATGTGGCTTATAAACTTTTTGATGTTCTATTGTTGATGGTGTGGAAGGTGCGGAATTATTGTTTTTGGAGGGTTTGGAGGGTTTCGATTGTTGTTTACCCATGGTAAAATTAAGGTAATGACGTTAGATGATTAATATCTAAATGAAAAAAAAAAAAAAATTTTTTGAGGAGGAAAAAAAAGAATGTTTACTTTTCTGAGAACATTTTTCAGGAGCTACTTTTATACTTTTTATATACAAATCAAAATTAAATATTTATTTATTTTTTTTTTTTTTAATATATAAACAAGGATTGTCTAGTAAAAGGGATTTTCTTTTTTTTGTATGATTGACTTTATATTTCTCTTTGAAATGATTAACCATGTACATACATAAAATACATACGTACAGTACGGTAAAAAAAAAAGATATTTAATTATTATTGGTGTTTAAAGAAAAACTTCTTTATACATGGGTAAAATAAAAAACAAAAAAAAAAAAATGTAAGGTGAATGAGGCTATAAATGGATTCATTGTTTACCATAAATAAAAAAGGACCAAATATATTATTTTATTTTATTTATTTATTTCGATTTCTTTGTAAAATTGATTGATATTCCTTACAATGATTATTAGCCTAAATGGTAAACGAAACTACTTTGTATTACAAACAAATTTCTTTCTTAATGTCTTACCGTACGCACAAAAATATTGTACCTGCATTTCACTGTAAATATTATTATGTTATCAAAGATTTAATAAAAATCCGGAGAATATCCCCCGTGGTAATTTTTGTGATTCTTTGTGTTATTTGATGCAGTTTTACTGCGCCATAAACTCCCCCTTCATCACATGAAATCATCACATATAATGTGTCCATTTTGTCCATTTTATATGTTTTTATAACTTTTGTAATTCAAAATATCTATCCGATTATTTTGAGATTGTACGCGTGAAAATTTTTTATAATGCTGACAAATTTTTTTTTATCAATAATGTAAATAATTTCACAAATATTCCGGCCGATAAAAAAAAATATATATATATATTTTTTTCCTGATTTTTCCTGATTATTTTAGTAATTTGGATTTTGAATTTAATAAATATTTGGTTAGTTTTTGCGCTACATTATTTAAAGCGGGATCATCTTTTTTTTTTTAGTTAATTCATATCCTTTTATGTATAAATATTACTTATTTTAATAATTTTTCGAATTAGTATTAAATTATTGTAACAAAAAAGTCGATTATTTTTAATTTAATTGGTACATCCTCATCCGGATTTAAGGGTAACTCTATTTCATTCTTCGAACCGTGTAACAAACCTCCTTGAATATGTGATAAAAAGTTTTGTTTTATTTTTGTTTTTTTTTATTATTATTATTAATATTATGTATTATTATTATTATTAATTTTTTTTTTTGACATGAAATAAAATTTTGATGTTTCATAAATTTTTCCTTTATTAAAAAAAAAATATGTACATATAATAATTTTTTATTTTTTTATTTATTTTTTTTTTTTTGTGTTTCAACCAATTCTATCATAGAATTTTCGTTTCTATAAAAAAAGGAGGTTTGGATTATCATATGTAATTATTTACATGGGCGTTAAAAATGTGGAGGCGTTCATGACGGTAACCTTAAATACTTTATTTTAATTGGATTAACGCGTAATTTTCAGTGTTTCAATCCGCGGATCATCTGTAATTCGTCATCCCGGAAGAATATACCCATTTTTCCGGTTCAGGGATAATCCGGCTATCCGAATAACTGGTTCGTTACACCCGTTTGATTATCCTTCTTATACTACAATCTTTATATTATAAAGATTTCTCCTTAAAGAAAAAAAAAATTTTAATATGAATGAATATGAAATGATCTTATGGTTGAAGATTATTTAGATTATTTTCTAATGTTCCTACAGATGATTCGAAATAAACCATGGAATCCGATCTGACGATCTGATGATCCGACAGATGCAGTTATCCTATGCAGTACATTATTGGTGCTGTATAGATTGCAGCATTGCAGCATTGCAGCATATTTGATCCTTAAACATTACACAAAGATCAAAAATAAAAAGTATAGAAAAAAATTTTTTTTTTTTTTTTATATTATAGAAATTTTTTTCTTTTTATGGATATTGATAGAACAACTATTCAAGTATTCGCTATTCATTATGCATAATCTATAATGTCTATTAACTATCATGGCCTAACTAAAATATTGAAAAAAAAAAATTAATTTTATTGACTCGCAGTTGCACAAATGATATCATAAAGAAAAATTGTATCATATAATAACTGATAGTATCTTTACGTTACCCGTTTGCGTAACTGGTACTGTAAAATGTCGGTGCACGGTGCACGGTGCGCCAATTCTATATTTTAACTCAGCCAATCAACTTTTGTGATAGAATTTATCTAATATTCCGCTCTGCTGAAAAATACGGAGATTTATCTCCCGTTATTACGTTATTTCCCCTGAAATGTATTTACTTGAAATCAGTTTGAAACGTTGAACACAGTCACGTGCATACTACGTTTGACGGATTGTGGAACACTATATAACATGATTACATTAAAGTAAATTTAAGCGAGAGTTGATTGAAATTTATGCTAATGTAAATTTGCTTTCTTATATTTAGTTTCGAGTTCCCGTTTGCGCTAGAAATTTAGTTACACGTGAGCATACTTAATAAACGTTCACAAATAATAAAAACAGCTTTATAAACAATTCCATTTAATTTATTTTTATTCATATTCTTACGATATTTTTTTTTGCTTGTTTGTTCTCATTCAATGAGGATTTTTTTTATCTATAATTGTTCTTGCCAATTTTACTACGTTACCAAAAGCTTAATATTTGTAGCAAATAAATTATTTATTATTAAAGTAAATAATTTATTTAAACAATTATGATACTATTATGGTTCTTTCATATGAAGGTCGTGCAGAACTTGAACTAATTTCGTGACATTTTAATATTAATATTTTAGATTTCGGTATTACAGATATTATAAACATTTTAATCATTTTACAATAATTAAAAAAAAAAATATTATAAAAAAGCCTTTTTGTATTAACAACTTATGAACAAAGTTTATGCTTTATTTGCAAGAATGTATAATAAATCTTGGAACTTTTACAAATTTTTGAAAGAGGAGAGATTATAAAGAAAAGAACAGGTCTTCATAGTATCATAAGGAACGTACAAATTTGTTTTCAATTATTGTGTCTATGAAAGGAAAGTTAATTTTTCTTTAATGTCGTCCTTTTAGTAGTTCCTTCGCCTACTAGGTATTCACGACACCCTCTAAAGTTGATAATTATTGTAGAATTTGCGTATGTTACCCAGTTTCAACTTATCACAACGGCAAATAAAGAGATTCAAGAACAAAATGTTCGCAGGTGCATTGGTGATTCGCAGTTAGATTTTCTACCTAATTTTATAATTTAAACGACCAATATTTTTTTAAAAAAATGTTTCATGTTAACAAATGAATTAGTAAAATTATTTTTAATATACCACACGACAAAGAGTTGTTTCCAAATTTAGTTAAAAAAAAAAGAAATATGAAAGAAGTTGCATGACTTGCATCATCATTGATAAGTTTGATATTACTTTGTATAGAAAATACTGAAATAATTGTATACTCGATACAAAGTTAATTTGTCTAACATATCATATTATACAGTATATATGAAAAAAATGAAAAATAATTTTGTTAAAAATATTTATTTTATTTTCTAATAAAAAAAAAACGCCTTTTCTCTACTTATTCAATAAAGTAATAATAATAATAATAATAATAAATGTCCACTCAAAATAAATAATACCGTATTATAAATATCAATCATATTTTCTTAATTATAAATATAGAGAATATTATGCTTGGAGGTAACACAAGATGCATATTATATTTATACTCGTATTCAATTCAAGCATATTCAATAAAATAGTGTAATGGTGTAAAGGTAGTGTGACAATAGATTATAAATACGAGATAGTCGAGATGCATAAAATATAAAATTATGTCACGTCATGCAATTTCTTCCGCATAATTTTACACATTTTAATATAAATAAGCTAAAATTGAAGGAAAAACCGGAAGAGAAAATTTTCAAATTTACAAAGAAAAAGAAAAAAAATTCAGGCTAGCCATACTCAGAAAATAATAAATCTCAAGTCTCCAACTAGAATAGTAAAATATTTAACCTATAGTATAACTATAATGTTAAATTTTTTAATTAAATATGTGATGTACTCATCTATCTAATTTAGGACTTAATTATGATTAATATAATTTTGCCTGAATATAAATCCAATAGTTTGTTAAATGAGTAGAAATATTATATTATTTGTCAATTAAATCAAATTCATTTTCATTTGTCTCAGGTATCTATGGTAGTTATTGTGGACGTTCACCTTGGATTATGATCATTATGGTACCGGGGTAAATTTTGTTCAATATAGCTTCTTACCTTTGATGAAATAAGAACATTCCACATAATTTTAAAAATTATTGTAACGCAGAAAAATTCCCTACATAATCCCAGTGCCTTAGAGTTGTTAATAGTGATGTACACATAGGAAGTTCACTATGTTCACTATGATCTTATTATTTCGGTCTTAACTTTATTTCACGTATCAGATTCAGCCGAAGTGGTTCCTACACGTGATAAAAGGGAAATCAGGCTATTCCTTCAAAAAAAATGAAAAATAGATATAAAAGAACAGCTGAACCGATGGTATTTTCTTATTTGTCAGCAGTATATTTATAACGCAGCATATTTTATTTGATTTAATTAATGGTCTTTTGTTGACGTATTTTTTTATTTATGGATTTTATAATTTATCGCGCCTGCGATGCATCGCGCCCTTTTTTGTCATCTGTATCACACCTTCCCCTTTTCATTTTTTATATGTATTCTAGGAACTTAAATTTTTCAGTTGTAAAAATTTATTTTTCACATTAGTTAAATGTCACATGTTTTAGCATATTTTAATTTTGCCCGGCATTACGTAATTTTGCCCAGGGTGCGATGTATCGCAGGTGCGATAAAAAACAAAACCTTTTTTTTGGTTTATTTTTTTATTTACATTTTTACGATGCTTGAAATATAACTCACGCCACTCACGCCATCATTAGAATAATCTAATAAATGAAAAAAAATTATACAAAATTATAAATGTAAAAAAATAGGCTGACACAATCCGTGATATTCGGGTCGGGTCATCAATTTATGTCCCACCTCTGTCGGGTCAAGTCAATTACCCGACCTGACCTGACCCGTTCGGAGCTCTAAATTTATTTATTTATTAAAATGCATGTACTTGTGATCAACGCCTTTGCACATTAATGCATTTTGCATTAATATTGTTATCACATTTATTCATACTAATAAAAGCGTTTAATAATAATAAATAAAAAGAAAAAAAGATATTTGCTTTATCTTTACCAATACATTGGCCCATTACTATATCAAAATTCTCCCTAATTGTAAAAGGTAAAGCATATAATATGAATAATAATATAAATTAGAATTATTCAAAATTTTAAAACAAACTTGCAATATAATAAAACTAGTTTTGCGTGATGTCAAAAAACCTGAAGGTAAATATAACATACAAAACAAAGTTGAAATATTAAAATTTTTATTTATTAAAAAAATTTAATTGTAAATAATTAAACCAAATTTGCAATATAACAAAACTAGTTTCCAGTAATATAGAAGAATTTGAAGAAAGTGGAATTGGAGAATTTGAGGGAAGTGGCACTGAAGAATTTAAAAGAAGTAGTATTGAGGAATTTGAAGGAAATGATACCAAGGGTAAAGGTAAAGCATATAACATGAATAATAATATAAATTAGAATTATTCAAAATTTTTAAAACAAATAAACTTGCAATATAATAAAACTAGTTTTGTGTGATATCAAAAAACCTGAAGGTACATATAATATACAAAACAAAGTTGAAATATTAAGATTTTTATTTATTAAAAAAATTTGATTGTAAATAATCAAATAGTATAATTAAACCAAATTTGCAATATAACAAAACTAGTTTCCAGTAATATAGAAGAATTTGAAGAAAGTGGAATTGGAGAATTTGAGGGAAGTGGCACTGAAGAATTTAAAAGAAGTAGTATTGAGGAATTTGAAGGAAATGATACCAAGGGTAAAGGTAAAGCATATAACATGAATAATAATATAAATTAGAATTATTCAAAATTTTTAAAACAAATAAACTTGCAATATAATAAAACTAGTTTTGTGTGATATCAAAAAACCTGAAGGTACATATAATATACAAAACAAAGTTGAAATATTAAGATTTTTATTTATTAAAAAAATTTGATTGTAAATAATCAAATAGTATAATTAAACCAAATTTGCAATATAACAAAACTAGTTTCCAGTAATATAGAAGAATTTGAAGAAAGTGGAATTGGAGAATTTGAGGGAAGTGGCACTGAAGAATTTAAAAGAAGTAGTATTGAGGAATTTGAAGGAAATGATACCAAGGGTAAAGGTAAAGCATATAACATGAATAATAATATAAATTAGAATTATTCAAAATTTTTAAAACAAATAAACTTGCAATATAATAAAACTAGTTTTGTGTGATATCAAAAAACCTGAAGGTACATATAATATACAAAACAAAGTTGAAATATTAAGATTTTTATTTATTAAAAAAATTTGATTGTAAATAATCAAATAGTATAATTAAACCAAATTTGCAATATAACAAAACTAGTTTCCAGTAATATAGAAGAATTTGAAGAAAGTGGAATTGGAGAATTTGAGGGAAGTGGCACTGAAGAATTTAAAAGAAGTAGTATTGAGGAATTTGAAGGAAATGATACCAAGGGTAAAGGTAAAGCATATAACATGAATAATAATATAAATTAGAATTATTCAAAATTTTTAAAACAAATAAACTTGCAATATAATAAAACTAGTTTTGTGTGATATCAAAAAACCTGAAGGTACATATAATATACAAAACAAAGTTGAAATATTAAGATTTTTATTTATTAAAAAAATTTGATTGTAAATAATCAAATAGTATAATTAAACCAAATTTGCAATATAACAAAACTAGTTTCCAGTAATATAGAAGAATTTGAAGAAAGTGGAATTGGAGAATTTGAGGGAAGTGGCACTGAAGAATTTAAAAGAAGTAGTATTGAGGAATTTGAAGGAAATGATACCAAGGGTAAAGGTAAAGCATATAACATGAATAATAATATAAATTAGAATTATTCAAAATTTTTAAAACAAATAAACTTGCAATATAATAAAACTAGTTTTGTGNGTAAGTTATTTATTTAATTCTATTATTACTTATTGTTATAATATTTACATATAATTTAAACTATCTAATTTCTTTATTTATTTAATAGTTGGTAAGTTATTTATTCAATTCTATTATTACTTATTGTTATAATATTTACATTTAATTTAACTATCTAATTTCTTTATTTATTTAATAGATTGTAAGTTATAAGTTATTTATTTAATTCTATTATTACTTATTATTATATAATTTAAACTAACTAATCACTTTATTTAAAAATTATTGAATAATATAGGGAGTAAGTTATTTATTTAATTCTATTATTACTTATTGTTATAATATTTACATATAATTTAAACTAACTAATTTGTTTATTTAAAAAATTAATAAATAATATAGCGTGTAAGTTATTTATTTAATTCTATTATTACTTATTGTTATAATCTTTACATATAATTAAACTAACTAATTTCTTTATTTAAAAAATTATTAAATAAGGGGGTAAGTATTTATTTAATTCTATTATTACTTATTATTATAATATTTACATATAATTTAAACTAACCAATTCTTTATTTAAAAAATTAATAAATAATATAGGATGTAAGTTATTTATTTAATTCTATTATTTTACTTATTGTTATAATATTTACATATAATTTAAACCAACTAATTTCTTTATTTAATAAATTATTTTGTGATTTATTTTAGTTAGTAAGTCATTTGTTATTTATTTAATTTTATTATTACTTATTGTTATAATATTTACATATAATTTAAATAACTAATTTCTTCATTCAAAAATTACTTCATAGATGGTAAGTTTTTTATTTAATTCTATTATTATTGTTATAATATTTACATATAATTTAAACTAACTAATTTCATTAAAAATTATTAAATAATATAGCTCGTAAGTTATTTATTCAATTTTATTATTAATTATTGTTATAATATTTACGTATAATTTGAACTAACTAATTTCTTTATTTAATAGATTGTAAGTTATAGTTATTTATTTAATTCTATTATTACTTATTGTCATAATATTTACATATAATTTGAACTAACTAATTTCTTTATTTAAATTATTAAATAATATAGCTCGTAAGTTATTTATTTAATTCTATTATTACTTATTGTTATAATATTTAAAGGGTTTTGCTTTTTATTGCACCTGCGTTATGTCGCACCCCTATAATATGTTACATATAAATATCAAAAATGACATTCTTAATCCTTTTTGATATATTAAGAAAACTTGTAGAGAGGTCAAAAATACGCATAGTATAAGGTTTCTTATAGTACATAGTAAGTGCATAAGGTCTCACGCAGTGTTTATTTTTCACTGTGCGGCATGTTCGCAGCGCACATGATCAGAATTTTGCGCACACCTTTTTTAGAAAGGATGTGCGGCATGCGCACAAAAAATTTTGAAATATCCTTATGTGATTGGGCGCATATGTATTACAGTACCTATTATAGTAGTATAGCCATACCACTTTGACGCACAACAAATTGTGCGCCATCCGCACAGTAACTTTTTATCGAAAAATTAACACTGGTCTCACGCCAGGATTTTTTAAAAATGGGAAATCTTGACGAAGTCATGTGATAAGAATGATTGACAATTAATATAAAAAATTACCAAAAAAGGGAGACGCGACATATCGCAGTTGTGAAAAAAAACATATTCCTAATTTAAAATAACTAATTGTTTTATTTAAAAATTATTAAATAATATAGGGTGTAAGTTATTTATTTAATTCTATTATTACTTATTGTTATAATATTTACATATAATTTAAACTAACTAATTTCTTTATTTAAAAAATTATTAAATAATATAGGGAGTAAGTTATTTATTTAATTCTATTATTACTTATTGTTATAATATTTACATATAATTTAAACTAACTAATTTCTTTATTTAAAAAATTATTAAATAATATAGGGAGTAAGTTATTTATTTAATTCTATTATTACTTATTGTTATAATATTTACATATAATTTAAACTAACTAATTTCTTTATTTAAAAAATTATTAAATAATATAGGGAGTAAGTTATTTATTTAATTCTATTATTACTTATTGTTATAATATTTACATATAATTTAAACTAACTAATTTCTTTATTTAAAAAATTATTAAATAATATAGGGAGTAAGTTATTTATTTAATTCTATTATTACTTATTGTTATAATATTTACATATAATTTAAACTAACTAATTTCTTTATTTAAAAAATTATTAAATAATATAGGGAGTAAGTTATTTATTTAATTCTATTATTACTTATTGTTATAATATTTACATATAATTTAAACTAACTAATTTCTTTATTTAAAAAATTATTAAATAATATAGAGAGTAAGTTATTTATTTAATTCTATTATTACTTATTGTTATAATATTTACATATAATTTAAACTAACTAATTTCTTTATTTAAAAAATTATTAAATAATATAGCTTGTAAGTTATTTATTTAATTCTATTATAATATTTACATATAATTTAAACTAACTAATTTTTTTATTTTAAAAAATTATTTATGATCTAGCTTGTAAGTATCTCTATTGTTATATATTTTATAATATTTATTTGTTAACCAAATTCTTTCATTTAAAAAATATCTGTTACTTAGTTGGTAAGTTGTAAATCATAGGTTATTATATGTATTTATCTAAAAATCAAGACTCATATTGCATTAAATTCCTATTTAAATTTTAGAGTAAGTAATAATTTATTTTGTATATATAAATTATAATACAATCTATTATATAATTTTAATTATTTAAATTTATAGATTTGGAAAAAGTGGAAATGCCATTATAGATGATTTTATTCTTAAAAATAGATTAAAATGGATTCCTTATAACAAATTTAAAAATGTTGAGTATCTTAATGAAGGAGGATTTGGTACTATATACAAAGCTATTTGGTTAAAGAATAATAGAGATAAAGAAGTAATTCTTAAATGTCACAAGAATTTAGATGAAAATTTGAATAAATTTTTAGAAGAAGTATGATAATATATTATTTTCTATTTTTAATTTAAATTAAAATTTATTTATATTAATAATTATTATTATTTTTTATAGTGGAAATATCATGAAAAGTGTTTAAGTTCAAATAATATTATATTATTTTATGGATTCACAGAAGATCCAAATACATCAAAATATATGGTAGTAATGGATTATGCAAATAAAGGTAATTTAAGAGAAAATTTAACAAGAATAGTCAAAAATAATTGGAATCAAAAGTTACATATGTTGTACGAAATTATTTCTGGACTTAGTAAGATACATGGAGAAAAACTTATTCATTGTGATTTTCATGATGGTAATATTTTAAATCATGTTTATGATGGGGATAGTGATAAAATTTATATTAGTGATTTAGGATTATGTCAACCTGTAAAATCGTTTTTGAAAAAGTATGATATTTATGGTGTTATACCATTTATGGCTCCTGAAGTTTTAAGAGGCAAACCTTATACTCCAGCTAGTGATATATATAGTTTTTCTATGATTATGTGGGAGTTTACATCTGGAATACCACCATTTAATAATAGAGCGCATGATTTTCAACTTAGTTTAAGTATCTCTAAAGGTGAACGACCTGAAATTATTGAAAATACTCCACAATGTTATGTAGATTTAATGAAAAAATGTTGGAATGAAGATCCATTAAAAAGACCAGTTTCTATAGAAGTATTAAAAATTATTAAAAAATGGATTTTCCGTCCTTATAGTGTCAGTGAAGAATTAAAAAGCAACATTATGGAATTTATAAATGCACCAATTAGGCGGCATAACAATCTTGTTACTAAATCTCATCCTAAAGCATGTTATGCGAGTCGTTTACTTGATTTTAATAGTAAAGAATTGAATGAAATTCTTGAAAGTGAAGATTTGAATAACTTCATAATTAGAGATCCAAGGTCATTTGGTATGTACTATAATATATAAAAAATTAATCTTGCAAATTGTATATGTGAAATTAATTTATTTACTTAATTATAGATGAAAATACTAGTAAAAAGTTGAATGAAATACTTGAAAATGAAGATTCACAAGCTAGTGTAAAAGCAAATGAAATGCCACTAAGTGAAGATTTGAATGATTGTATAATTGAAGATATGAAGCCATTAGGTATGTAATACAGTATATACTGAAAAAATTAATGTTGCAAATTATTTATATTAAATTAATTTTATCTATTTATTGCTTAGATATTTAAACAGATGAAATTAGCTAATCAATTGTATTTTAAAAGAATTTTTGTCTTTTTAAGTGATATTTGATAACATGCATTCAACAGAAATTGTTCTTTATTTTATTCTTTTTGATTTATTTAAACACTAAGACTGGAGTAGTAAAATATTTTACAAAATTCTTAGTTTATAATTTAAGTAATTCTTTTTTTTTAGCTTATGTATTTATATTCTCTTTTTTTTATTATACTTAGAATTATTTAAACACTAAGACTAGAGTAGTAAATATTTTACAAGTTTCTTAGTTTGTAATTTAAATCTTTTTTTTATAACTTTTCCAATTATGAGATAAATTTTCAAAATAACAATATAAAACCATTTCCAATGATAATGTAAAGTTTTTTACACTTATTTCAATAGCTGATTGTGCTTAATTTATATTTGTTGGCTTTTATTTTCAATATTATTTAAATATTTTGATAAGAAACTACACGTCTACACTCTACACCAAGGATATCTGCTGGATTATAATTTAATGCATTAGTTATTTTTTATTTCTTGATAAATCAAAGTCCTCTAACCTTATTCTATTTTGATGTACAAGTGCAAATGTACATGCTAAAATGAATATATATATTAATTTATTGCTTGATGTAATCAACTTTACTGAAACATGTCAAATTTGAAAAATGAGAAAACCATAACAAATAGATAGCAGTTGTATACTCAACATGTAGTCAAAGTATTTTAATGTATGCAATGAAAATATAAGATGTTTAAAACATATTTAAAACATATTAATAATATTCTTTGCATATGCGTTTAAATTTACAACTTTAAATAAAATAATGCAATAATTGAAAAAAATAAAAAAAATAACAACTATTTCAGAAATGTGTTTTTAATATGTTGACGCTCTTATGAAAATAACGCTATAATCTTCTATATCAATGATTTGATAGATGCAACTTCATAATATTTTACTATAACTAATCCTATTTATCACTATATGGATTACTATGGGAGATGACAAAAAAAACCATCTGTCTATCTGAAAAGATAGTATAATAATGATAGTAAATAATAGTAAAATCAAAAAAAGTAAAATTAAAAAAAATGATAAAAAAAAAAAAGAAAAAGCTTAAGATGGGGTCTGGAAAAATTTTTTTGTCTGTATATTAAATTTAAATATTTTTATGAACTGAATAGCCATGCACAATTAAGATAATGAATTACTTAACCTTAAAAGTTGGTTCCTTTTAAGGTCCATCATTGTGAAATAATGATGATTCATTCACTTATCTGCTGGTGATCAGCTCATACAACTAATACAAATAATTTTCCCATCTCCAAACTTGGTATAAATTTTTCATACCTTAACACATTAATAGTTTACGCACCGGTAATGATTTTACTATTCCAAGTTTTGTTGGAATTTTTAAGTCAATTGTGTATTCATTACATTTCTTAATAATAGCTTGAGTGTCTTCATTTTTATTTTGAGCAATAAGAACATTTTTGACAGCTTGACGAACAAATGCACCAAGATTTGTGACAATTGTATTGTAGCGAACGATCGATCACATGACCAGAATTCAATTTAATCACGGGATTGTCAATCTATGTTTCAAATGTTACGAATGTTACAAATGTTACAAATGTTTGATATGTTTAACATATTTAACATATGCAACATATTAAATATGTTTAATATATGCAATATGTTATATATATTTAACATTAATTAATTAGAGTAAAATAATTATAAATAGTGGAGCATTTGTAGCAGAACGAAAGGTAGTTGAATGAAGTTCAAGTTCCCTATAAAAAATAAATGTCCGGAAAATGTCTACGAAAATGTCCGGAAATTATCCAGAATAAATCTGGCATGTCCAGAAATTGTCCGGAAAATGTCTATTTTTTGCTACAAATTTGATACCTAAAATTTTGACATATCCGGACTTTGTCCAGAATATATCCAGAATTTGTCCAGTATAAAATTTTGGACAAATTCTGGACAGATAAACCTGGACAAATTCTGGACATAGTAAAAATTCAGATAATTTGAACTGGACAAATTCTGGACATGAAAAAATTCTGGACAAATTCTGGACGCTACTTCCAAAAAAGGATAAATTAATTTTGTAAAAAATTGCAAAAAGTACAAGACTGACATTCATAACCTTCTTTGTCATACTAATTAAATTTGCTGAGCAGGCAAAAATACTATATATCTATGATATAAAACTTTAGGTTAAAGCAATTATAATGATGGTCACCTGTTGATCATCTTTTTGTGCCAAATTTTATGAAAAAATATTTCAGGTCAATTTCCGACAAATTCTGGACAAAATGAGTGTCCAGAAACGAGTGTGTTTTCGGAACAATTTCCGGACATGGTACCTGGCATTTTCTGGACATTTTCTGGACAATTATTTAGACAAATTTTCCGGACAATTTCTGGACAATTTCCAGACACTTATTTTTTATAGGGGTTCAGTAGAAGAGTTTTCTTAATAAAAATGGTTCTAATGATTATATTAAATAAACTGTTATTTGAATTTAACGAAATATAAATTTGTTTTTGTTTGTTTAATCCTTTATTCGTGTTGGGAGTATATACTGACGTACAGTGCTATACTACACGTCTGATTGGATTGTTTATTAAGTGTTTATACATATAGTTTATTTATTGATTATACCCGCCTACCTATATCTGTTAAAAAATTTTTTTTCTCCTTTCTATAATTTTTGTCACAATTATATAGTCAATTATATTGACAAATTTGACGTAATGATGTAATTTTGATGAATTGATATATGTAATCAATTTTGACGCTGTATTGACATAATTAATTAGCAAAGTATAAATCTTTTGCTTTCATAATCTTTTTTTAGTGTGAAAAAAAAATACACTATAATTATTTTAGTTAACCCAATTTGTGGCTTAGTAAAATTATGTGAGAAAAAATTTCTGAATTAGTCAGTATTTTCGCAACAAATTATTTTACCTTGTAATAACCAAAAATCAATTTAAAGATGATATTATAAATGCATATATACAATAAAATAGAATAAGGATAAATAATTAACCGATGGTAAATAATTAGCCAATAAAATTATATTTATAGTTTAGTTTAGTGTAACGAGATAGTCATATGATAATAGATCTTCAAATTTTATTAGAAAAAGATAGTAAATATTAGAAATATTTTTCTTAAAATGTATAAATACAAGTGGATTTCGATAGGAAATTCCGCAGTCTTGATTTTATGTCTTGACTCAGGATGAAATTAATATTAATAAAGAGTTATCATAGTGGTTTCACTATGAACAACGATTAATAATTAATGATTCTAATATAAAAAAAAAATTAATTAAATTTATTTCGCTCATAATATTAAATTTGGGGAAATTATCGCAATTTGAAATTTTGGTAAGAAATTTTGTTTTGTAACTAATTTTTTTTATTTTAAACCAAGCGAAGATAATATAAGAACTCAACACGTCAGTGGCAACATACGATAAATAGTTATTTATCCTATGGGCGGCGTGTCACATTTTTGGTGCATGCTCGTGAGAAATTAAAAGATTGTTGTCTTCATACAAGATCTAAATGAGAAATAAAAGAAAATTATATAAGAAAATGAAAGAAAATTTTGTGAAATTAATAAGAAAAGGATGATATAAGAAATCATCAAAGATAAGAAAAGGATGATATGAGAAATCATCAAAGAAATGAAAAAGATAAGGAAGACTTATCTGAAATATGAGAAAAATGTTACTATATATGAAAAAGGATATAGTAAAAGAAAATATATAAGAGAAAGTAATATTATGAAAAAGGAATATTACGGAATATATGAGAAATAAAATTAAATGAAAATATACGATATATTGAAAAAGTATATATCGAAAGGATGAATGAAATATTCAAGATAATAATGAAAAGATTTAAAAATTAAATGAAAATAAAAATTTATAATAAGAATAAATTTTGTGTATTATAAAAAGTTAATAAATGATTGAAAAATTCAAAAGTATAATAAGAAAAGAAAAGTTATTAGTAACAAACCCGTAAACTACTATACTTCTATAAAGAAGGTAAAGGCAAGCCCGGTATAGGTTACTAAATGAAAGAGAAAATTAAATGATATTGTAAATATAAGAAATAATGAAATGTTATTATTTGATATATGAAAAATAATTTTATTACAATAAAAGAACGATATGAGAGATTATAAAAGATAATAATAAATTATATGAAATAAATGATGTAATAATGATGTAATATAAAAATAAAAAGAAATTGCGTAAGCATGTTGTGTAAACAATATATAAAAATGTAAAAAAATATTTAAGATCCAATTCACGTATGATCTACAGAAAATTACTATATATATCCGGGGAAAACAAACAGTTAAATTAATAAGATTTGCATATCATCATATATTATAAAAACCGTAGATAATAATGTTGTAGCACCAATGAACATGTGATAAGGCTTAAATGCAAAGAATAATATCAAAAAAAAAATTTTATATAAACCAACTCGTAAAAAATGCTAAAATCTGAAGCCAACCATGTCTCAAATGTATGTTATTCTAGTAGAACTTGGCTCGCTTATAGAAAATCTTCACTATGGACCTTATTCACGCTACTGGTGGGAAATTCTAAGTATTCCTGACGCAAATACCCAACTCAGATTTCCAATTAGAGCAGGCCAAAAAACTAATGCTTGTTTGAATTGACGTGACTTTTATATAATAGTACAGATTTCCAGTTCTAATCAAATGTTACCTGAGTATTTTTGTCAAAGTGGTGAGTTTTGGGTTATAGAAACAAGTGCAACTAAGGCAGTTTCTGAAGTTTATCAAAATATTTTTCAAAAAAAAACTCGTTATTCTGGTTCTATTATTATGGGATGGGATAATAAAAATATAATAGATGTTCTTTCATCTAATATTGATTTTTGTCCATTTTCATGTAAACTTGGTGATTATGAAATATTTATTTATGGATTGGGTTCATCTACACGTTCAGATTGGAATCAAGCAGGCAATGGTTACAAGTCATCAATTATTCACACATATAAGAAACGTGCAGCTATATTTGTATCTGAAATTAAAGATGATAAATGTTACATTTATATTTATCAAGATTTTAAAATTCAAAAAACATTTGTAGGAACTACCCCAGATGACATCTGGAAAAATTCAGGTTATATTCAAAAATTTTCAGGAAAAGAATTATTTGGGTTGGAAGATCAAATTACATTACAAAAATTAAATAAGTTACGTATTCCACAATGCGCTTCTCATGAATGGATTAATTTCAAACTAATGAAAAAATTATATGAATATCATCTTCAGCGTCAAACTTTTGCTAAAATTGAATGGTAAAAATTATTTGTTAGATGGGATCAAAATGAGTGTAATGTAATAGAATTAAATTCAGAATTAAAATTATTATACCCACCAGAGCATCAATTTTCTGATCGTGAACTGGGTGCATGGTTATCTATGCTTCTTGCTGCAGGATGCTCTGATATTACTCCTTGGTCCCATGATAAATCTGGTAAATCTGAGGTATGATTGAGTTGTATATTGAAAAATTATAAACACGAATAAAAAATAACTTTTAATTCTATAGTATCAACTTTGGACTAAATCACGAAATCCAATACAAGAAAAACAGATATTTACTACTCTTTACAAGATGGGATTTCTTTCCAGCAATCCTTCAAATTCTACAGAAACTTTTTGGTCTTGTTTTTGACAAGCATTGGATGATAATAAAAAAACCAGAGATGGAAAATGGCGTATTTTATCAATTATTGCCAATGATTTTACCTATGAAGAATTAGAATATAATTTAGGGGTAAGAATATGTTTTTGTAATTAGCATAATATTGGCAGTAATTTTGAACGCAATAACTAATTATCTAATATTACAGGTAGCATCTTATACCGTTCTTGAATCAAGAAGACATGCTGTATTGAATGGTTTTGGTGCTCCACCTATTGAAAAGCCAAAATTTCATCGTCTAAAGTTTAAAATAGAGCAAATTGATCAGTTTGATAGTTTTTTCATGAGAAAGGATATTGTCAACATGAGCTCTTACCGAACTCATTTAAAATCAGGATTACCTATAATGTATTTACAGGACCATAAGCAGGCTCTTTGGGAGAAATTTTCTGAAGAGTATCCAAATGGAATGCGTCTTACAGCATTTATGACACGTTTACAAGGTAGTAGATTTGTTTATCAAGATAATTTATGTGGTCTTTGCTCAGAATGCAATGAATGTGGATATGAGAGCTTTGCGTCTATTAATACCATTATTGCTACTCATGTAGAAGATGAATCTTTGAAGGTATTATATTCAAGAATTTTTTGTATTCAGAAATTTGATATTGAAATTAATCATATTCTATAATGCAGGAGGAGTTAACTCGAAAATTGAATATTTTGAGAAGATATATGAGGCGTGAATACATAAAGTATTTGAAAATTACCTCTTCAGGAATTCTGGCACATAAATCTTGCATATGCCATTGCCTTAGCCATTCCTTTGGAATTTGTAATCTTCAGCATTTTGAAATATGTAACGATTGTGTAGAATTATTCCAATTTTTTGATCTAATAAAAAATCAGGTAGATGAAGAATTACATGAATTATTAGATGATTATTTGAAAAAATTAATTTCATGGTTAGGACATCATGCATGAAAGTTTTATTTAAATACTCACGTTCAGGTTAATCTTGATGAGTTAGATGAAGATGGAGCAGTTATTATAGTGGACTATAAAATGAGGATACTTCCGCACACTGCAAGGGAAACAAAATCTCAATTCTTTGGTAAAAGGGGTTGGACTCTACATTCATCACTAGTATATACAAAAGATATTACAAATAACAAGCTTGATATACAAGTATATGACCATTGGAGTGACGATACTGGCCAAGATGCCTGGTTTACAGCATCTTCTCTTCATACCGTGTTTGAAAATCTTGATCCAAAGCCAAAATGGATAACAATAATGTTGGACAATGGGCCTCACTATCATTGTACAGAATTGATGCTGATAATAGGTCAATGGAAAGAATGGTATGATATTGTTCCTCGAAAATGGATCTTTTTGGAAGCTGGTGAGGCTAAAACACTGATAGATTCCCATCACGCTCAAGTAGTTATTATATTGCTTACTTCATTTATTATAAATTCTATTATTATTTTGTTTACCTTTGATTTATTCCTATTAGATATCACAAGCAATAAAACGTCATGTCAAACTGGGTTGTACAATTGAATCTGGTGATGATATAGAGGCAGCAATTCATGATATTGCAGGAACAAAAGTTGCCAACTTGCTGCCAAATCGTAATCAAGGTATTTCAATAATTGAAGAAATTATGTACAATATTTTTGTTTGTCAGTAATAATATTTATTTCGTATAGGAAAAGAAAAAATTGGTACAATAGCTGGAATTAAAAGTCTACATGAATGGACGTGGCCAGCTCAAGGAGAGGATACAGGATTCGTATGTGCTAGGATTTTGCCTGGAATTGGAGAATGGAAGAAATGGTCTCCAGCTCAAATAAAAAAAATTCGAAAGCAGAGAAAAAATGAAAAGCCCAATCCAGAATATTCTACTCATACAGAACCATCTAAAAAATGGACGTTACCTATTGTTGTCAGTAAAGGTATGATAGTTTTTTGCATTTATTTCAAATTCCCCATGAAACTAATAATATTTCGTGATTCAGATGATTCTGTCACCAATGATGAATTTTTGGAATTGGTATGAACAATTTAAAATTGAAAAAATTTTTTTTTTCACAAAAATAAAAACTACTCAATATATAGGATCTTTTGAATTCAAGTTTGAATAGTATGGATATTACAAATGTAATAGGAAGTTCAAAAAAGCAAATGTAAGATATTTTATTATAATAAAAGCTTATAAATCAATTATACTAACAATTGGTTTTGTTTGACAACAATAGTCACGATGTATTTGTATCTGGGTGGGCCCTAAAATCTAACAAGAATTACAAGCGGGAATCATGGAAGTGAATATCTAAAAGTGCGAAACATTTATTAGAAAATATGTTTCATACCGGAACAGCAAATCCAAATAACAAATTTTCAGCTCAACAAATGTATGAGGAACTTGTGCGACGTGTTCAACTTGGAGAATTAGACGAAAATGATGTACCTAAAATCTCTACTATTCAGAATTGGATTACTGGTTTCTCCCTAAAATGGAAAGAAATCATGGCAATACGTGAATTAGAGGCAAGAGAAAATGAAATAATTGTATAAAACAAACAGTTCTAAACGTATAAAAATGTGTAAAATATAGTTCTAATTGTTTTTATTTGTTAATTTATAAAAAATAATCATAGTGCGTGTTTTAAACATTGCAAATACATATATATATATTTCCGCCAAATCTGACGCTGCCTCAAATTAAAGTTTTTAAGAAATAAATAAAACTCCCTATTTTTTTTGATCATTATTATCTTTAGCATTTAAGGTTTCATCACGTGAATTTTGGTGCTACAGCGTGATCATCTGCGGTTTTTATAATCTGTAATATTTTGCCAATTTTGCCATTTTTATAATAACCGTTCCCCAAATTTATATAGTAATTTTCTGTAGTTCATACGCGAATCGGATCTTAATCAGAAAGAGAGAACATGAGTTCAGTTACAGAAATGAATAAATAAAATGAGAATTATACTGCGACAAGTCATGTGTTAAAAAGCGCAGTAAAAATCACATGATCAAAACGCAGTAGAAAATGAAATGTTACATAAGTCACGTGAGTAGTACAAGTCATGTGAAGCGCAGTAAAAGAAAAGAAAATAAAAGAAAATATAAGTCACGCAATTGAGGCGCAGTAAAAGAAAAATATAGCGGCTCCTTGGGCAGGGGCGACTGATTAATAAAAATAATAAATGAATAAGGAAATAATAGAATAAATAGTTGTGTCACCAGGGGCGTTTGTTGACAGAAATTTTAGTATGTTGATCGCTTAAAAATCCGTGGCTATCCAATTATAATAAGAGAATATTAATGAATTATAAAATGAAATATGAGAAATAAAATAATATGAAATAGATTTGAAATAAATATTTTGAAAGTTAATATAAGAAAAAGATTAAAAGTTATTAAAAGTTTAATTTTGTGTATAGAACTGGGAGAACCCCAGTATAAATAAGAGCACACTGGGAGGACCCAGTATAAATAAGCCTTTATTTTGTCGGTGATCATATTAGTCTGATACTGGGCGGCCCCAGTTATAAATAATCCCTAGCTTTGATCACAGTTTATTTGCGCAAGATATAGGAATTTTATAAATAAAATCGTGATTATAAATTACATTATAGAATATATAGAAAATTATAGAATCAAAGCTGGAACTTTGAAAATATTAGAATTTAAATTGTATTTTAAAGAAGTAAAAGATAAAATAGTAGTTTAAATGATGTTAAGTTAATAATAAAATTTTATAAAATATAAATAAAAATGAAATTATGAAATGTTTAAATAAATAAAAATGTCTGATATATACGATGAATTAGAAGAGATTAGAAAAAGACATGAAATAGAGAAACATAATGAATCAAGAGAAAAATATCAAGTAGATCCTTCATGCTTAAAATGTTATAGTACTGATGAAATAGAGATAGGAGATTGGTTTAAAAGATTTTGGAAAATTTTTCAAAAGGTAATACTAGAAGCAATGAGTTATAATAGAAACACGTATGTGAAATTAATGGAATATATAATATTAACAAGAAAGGATGGAGAAGAAAATTATCCATCTAGTAAAAAGAAAAGAGATAGAGAATTTAAGAAAATGAGAAAAGAAGGAGAAAAGCTGTTAGATATAGTTGTGAGCTCAATCAGGTATAGAAACAAATCAGATTATAGAAAAATAGGAATTATATCAATAATAAAAATGATATGTGAACATTATATACTTAGTGAAGATAACGAGTTCATATTAGACAATCAAACAGAAGAAAATTTATTAGGGAATAAAGAATTGTTGACATATAAATATATCATAGAAGATGATGAATTAGATATAAGATTCGCAAAATTTGAAGAATGGTTACAAGAAATAGAATCAATAACTATTAAGAATAAAGGATATGGTACTATGAGAAATTTTAAAGAAATATTAGTACATTTAGAAGAAAATATAGCAGAAGAAGAAAGTAGAGAGAAAGTCAAGAAGTTTCAGAAAAGTATAACATATCAATGGTGGGATGGAAATAAATATCCAAAACCATGGATGAATGATGATTTAACAGATAAGATAATAGAGAAAATTGTAGAAACAAAAGGTTTTGTTGAAGAACAAAGTGACGTAGGAGAACTAGAAAGTTCAGATGATGTAGAAGAATCAAGTTCAAATGAAGGAGACGAACATATAGAAAGAATATACAGAAATTATTGGTTAGAGAATGGTTATGAAATTGATATTGAAGAAATAAGACGAATAATAAATTTTTTAGTTGAATATGAAATAATAAAAACTAAAGAATTTATGAGTTTTTACAAAACTATTGAAGAATTAGATGATAAAGGAATAGAAGAAGAATTAAGAATATGGCATTATATGTATACAATAAAATGTCCAATATGTAACAAAATAATATTAAAGAAAGAAGCAATAGAAGCAATAGAATACAATAGAGAATTTATAGAAAGGATATGTAAAAGCTGTTATGAAAAAGGATTAGAAAATTTAGAAGATGAGAATGAATTGGATGATGAAACAGAAATAGAAAAAAGATTAGAACGATTGAAAAACTTAATTAAAGTTTTAGAAATTGAAGTTTCTGATGGAGAATTATTAAGATTAATAAGTATGGAATATAGAGATATTGATATCTTAAGTGCAGACTTTATAAAATTATTTCAAGAATATAAAAATGAGTCAGAAAAGGAAATAAAGAAAATATTAGATGAATATTTAAAGAAATTTGAAATTGAAGAAAGTGAAGAAGAAATTGAAAAAGAAAATGATGATACGGATGATTCAGAAAAGATTGGAGAAATATTAGATCCAGAAGAATATGAGAATTGGGAAGAAAATGTTAGAGATTTTGATGAGAATGAATTTGAGAGTGAAAATGAAAATGTTATAAATATAAAAGGTTTTGGTTTAAGTCAAAATTCAGATTCGAATAATTCATTGAATATTGAAGATTCTGATAGTGAAAGTGAAATATCTGATTATAATTTACAAGATTTATTTCAAGAGAATATATTGTTAGATATGGCAAACCAAGATCAAATAAAGAGAATAGTAGAAAATGCTATAGGACTCGCACCTAATGCATTAGATAATGCATTAGGAGCAGGACAAACTTTAACAGATATAGTTCAAACTGCAGGAATGGGAGGAATAGTAGGTATGCCAACTTTTAGTGGAAAAGAAGATGAAGATGTTAACGATTGGATTAGACAATTTGAAGTAGCATTTGCAGTAAGTGGAAGACTAGAAGGAAATATTGGAGGAGGTGTATGTAGACAAAATAAAGCAAATATAGCAATAACATGTTTAAGAGGAATCGCATTACAATGATATAATGAAGAAAAAGAAAGAGTAGCAGCTAATTTAGTAAATTGGTGTAATCATGATGATGATAGAAATTTGAAAAACAAATTAATTAATAGATTCACTAGAGAAGATGTTAAAAGAAGAAAAATGATAGAATTAACAAGGATTAAACAAGAAAAAAATGAAAGTGTTGAAGAGTATACTAGAAGGTTTAGGTCAATATTAAGAATTGCAACTAGAGGTCAAGCATTACATGATATGTATCAAGTAAATTATTATATCCAAGGATTAGAACCTACATTAGGATACCAAGTTAGAAGAAGTAATTCAACGAATTTAAATAATGCGATTAATATAGCAAGAAGAGAAGAAGAAGCTAAAAATGAATTGATAATGAAAACAATGGGTGTAAATATAGAACAAATAAGACAAGAAAAGAATATAGAAGAAATTTTAAAAGAAGAAATGAATAAAATAGAAGAAAATGAAATATATAAAAAAATGCAAAAGCCAGTTAATGAAAAAGATATTGATGAATTAAGTAAAGCGTTAGAACAATTTAGAGCAGAAAAAATAGCTATGGGAGAAATGTTAAATGAAATAATAAATCAACAAAGAAGAAATATAAATAGAAATACAAATACAAGAAATGCAAGAATTATGAGATGCTATGAATGCAATGAAGTAGGTCATATAAGACCAGAATGTCCACAATTAAGACAAAGAAATAATTATAGAACGCAAAATAATTTTAATAGAAATAATAGTAATGAAAGAAGAAATAATGATAATAATAGAAATGTAAATTTAATGGATAATAATAGATATAATGATAATGAAAATTATAATAATTACGAAATATATAATTATGAAAAAAAAATATATCCAACTTTAAGAAGTGGTAAAATATATAATAGAAATTTGAATGACGACTATAATGAAATGGAAATTGAAGATGTTCCAATACCGCCAAAAGAGAATATGACATGAAAATGGATATCGATGGTGAAAGAAAAGGAGGATTTTCTAATAAAGAAGATAGAGATAAAGCGTATCAAGCAAGAAGAAGACATAATCGTTGTGAAAGATGTGGAGCAAAAGGTCATTTTATAAAAGAATGTCCAAATCCAGGAATGAAAAGAGGAAATAAAGATATTAGAGTACGAGTTAATGTACCACCAGAAAAATATGTAATGGATTTTTTTTTTTTTTTTTTTTTTAAACAGTAACGCGCTTTATTAGTTAAAATCGATTTAAAATCTGGTAACCAATACAAAAGCACCTAGAGCAAAGAAGTACAAAGACTTTCTAAACCCTATAACTGAGTATTTATCTGACTATAACTATTAATATAAAATCTAAACTAATACATTGTGTTCGATTTTATAAATATATTGTTTCCAAATACGCTACTGTACTAGTATTTTACGATGTTTTTTGGTTTTTGCTATTTTATATGTTTTGAGGCTTTACTATTTTAAATTCAATCAAATTAATTGTGAAGAAATTTCAAATAAAAACTAAATGATTTAAACTACATTAAAAGCGATAAAAATAAAGCAAAATAAAATTCTGTCTTGAAAATTAAGAAAGAAAAACTATACTATCGCGGAAAATATCAACGTTTTTACTTTAACAAGTTCTCTATTGTTAAGTAGCAACTTGATCAAATTCCAGTAACGTTCTTCTAAAAATAAATTTCAAGATTGTTAAAATTTATGGGGATAATTTGTTCATTCTATATCAGAATTTTCCCTTTCTCCCTGCTTTCGCACTACACGCTTTTTGTTTTCATTTTTCTTTTCTTCAACATCATCATCCGATAGCTCAGTTACTTTTTTTTTCCCTTTTCTTTGTGTCGTGGCTGTTGTTGTCATTTTTAATTCTTCTAATCTTTCTTTAAAATTGTTGTTCAAATTATCTAACTCTTCGTGTTCTTCTGAAGATCTTGGAATCGTTGAGATTAGATCAGTAGGTACATCAACAAATCCGTCCTTTGGTTTTTGTGGGATATTAAATTTGTTAATACCAAAACGTTTTTTGTAAGTTCCATTTTCGCTGATCAGTTCGTCTTGACTTTTAATCTTCAGACCGTTTTCCATGTTGTCTTCTTCCATTGTCGATTTATAAATTGCTCTTAGTAAATCACTTTCGTTGTTAAAATATATCAAAATATATTTGATTTTGTTTATTTTGATAATTTTTGAAAAATGACCACCGTATTTCAAGTTCTCAGCTTTTATTCCTTCATATTCTGACCTCCCTGGTAAATCCATAAATTTTTTATACGCTTGCCATTCATATCTTTTCTTTATATCTGTGGTGCTCATTTTTGCGTCGAACATCCTAAAAAAATAGTACTGATCTTTTTTCTTGATCGCTATGTTAGATCCACCTTTGACGAAAATTTCTTCCATTTCTGTTGTAAGGCGAATTCTAGCTCGAACAGTCCTATATTTGTAATTCCATTTGCACTCTAATCTTTCTATATATCCTACTTGTTTTAAAGAATCATAAATTTCATTGTCCTTCCAATAAGCTGGAAAATCATAAAATTTTAAGTCACGTGATCTTTCGGAAAAATGTTTTTTCAGATAATCATCATCAGAAGTTGTTTGAACCGGAATTTTGGTGATCTTCCCCTTTTTGATTTCTTGTGTAGATGATTTCTTTTTTTTGATTTTCTTCGTCGATTGTGGCTTTTTGTCTTACTTTCCGGCTTACTTGATATAGTATTCTCACTCGTTATCTTTTTCTTCTCTGATTCTTTTAATTTTATCATCTCATTTTCTAGACTTCTTATTCATTCATCTGCTATCTTTTTTTCCTTTTCTAAATCGTCTATCTTTTCTTTGTCTTCTTTGTGTTTAGCTAATAGGGAATTTAATTCATCCTTTGTCTTTCTTAATTCTTCTACTGCAGCGTCTTTTCTTTGAAGATTTTCGAAGTGGTCGTAACCTAGTGAAATCAAAATTTTCGTAGTAATGGCTGCACCCTTTTTTATTGTAAAGGCCGCTATATCCATTAGATTGTCTTTGATTACATCGACACCCATTTTTTTTTCTTTGTCTCTAACTCCTTGTGGCGTCCTTCCCCTTCTTATGAGTAAATCTTCATCTAAATGTTCTGTTTCATAATTTACCAAGTTGACTTGCTCTTTATTTTTGATAGCTGTTACAAAGTCATCTACATGTTGTTTCTCGAACTCAAAAAAATTTTTATAAAATGAGAACATATATTCTTTTACAAAATTTGAAATTAGTTCTCTATCTATTTCTTTTTCTGTTGTATTTTCGCCTGTTGCGTCTTTTGTTGTTGCTGTGTCCTTGCAAGATTTTTCCAAGAGGATTGTTTCTAAAATTCTTTTAACGTTTTCGCCGCCCATTTTCATTGTGAAGACTGCGATATCCATTAAAATCTTTTTGCTTATATTGCTCTTGGATGTTGTTCTGGCATCTCGGACTCCTATTTTAATATCACCTGGCGGAAATAAAATGTCGTTATCCAAATGTGCTATCTCGTAGTCTGCTAGATTAAATTCTTTGTATTCTTTTAAACATTTTGCGAAGTCTTCTAAGTGTTCCAACTCAAAACCTGTAAAGCCTCTATAGTATTCGTTCATGTATTGTTTGAGAGTTTCTTCTTCCATTTTTGTTATTTTAAGTTATGTTTTATTAATTGTTTTGTCAAATAAAATAAAATTTTTCTTTCGTAAAATTTTGGTCCGAAAGATCGTCAGGAAGAGTTCCCCTTCAAAATATGTAATGGATATGTTTAATGAAAACGCAAATATAACATATAGGCAAATTTATAATGAAAATCCAAAATTTAGAAAAATAGCTAGAGATTATGATGGATATAATAGTGTATGACTACACTTGGACCAACCAATAAAAAGTATAGATAATAAAAGTGAAACTAGAGCAATGAGAAGTGAAGTTATAATAAAAGGAAAATTAATATCAATAATAATAGATTCAGGAGCATTAGTCAGTTTAATATCAGATAAATTAAGAAAAGAATTAAATATTCCAATAATAAAAAAAAGTGATATTAGATTTGTAATGGCTAACGGAACAAGAGTTGCATCAAAAGGAAAAATAGAAATAACAATAGAAATAGATGAAAATACAGAAATGAAAATAATTATGGACGTAATCAAATCAGTAGAAAAAGAATTAATATTAGGAAATGATGTATTAAGAGAAAAGAAAGGAATAATCGATTATAATGAAAAGACATTAATATTAAGAGAAAATGGAAAAGATATTGAAATACCAATAAAATATGAAAATAATGATGAAGATATTGATGATGATAATGATAATGATGATAGTGAAGATGAAGATAGTGAAAATGAATATGAAAAAATAAGTGAACAAGAAATATACTTAATAAATAATGAAGAAAAAGGACATATCATAGAGGAAAACTATTAGGTCTTGGCCATAATAATGGAGAGACATTAAAGATGCATAAAGATTGGACAGACGAAATAAAATATAAAGATTTAGAGAAATTACAAGAAAAAAAATTAAAAGATTTAGTTAAAGAATATGAAGATATTTGTATATATGGAGATAAGAAAATAAGTAAAACAAATATAGTAAAATGGAATATAAGGTTAAAAGATGAAATGCCAATAAATCAAAAAGCATATAGAGAAAGTACAGAAAATAGAGAAATAATAAAAAGAGAAATAGACAAAATGTTAAAAGAGAGAATAATACAAGAATCATATAGTCCATGGTCATCACCAGTAGTAATAGTAAATAAGAAAACAGGAGATAAAAGATTTTGTATAGATTTTAGAAAAATAAATCAAATGACGATAACAGACTCATATCTTTTTCCAAGAATATATGACTTATTAGAAAAATTTAGAGTAGCAAAATGGTTTACAACAATTGATTTAGCAAGTGGATATTGGCAAATAGAGATGAAAGAAGAAGATAGAGAAAAGACAGCATTTATTTGTAGTCAAGGATTATATGAATTTAATGTTATGCCGTTTGGATTAAAAAATGCACCGGCAATATTTCAAAGAACAATGAATAAAATATTTAAAGAATACTTAGATAAATTTATGAACGTATATATAGATGATATTATAATATATTCAAAAAATTGGAATGAACATTTACAACATATAAAAATAGTATTAGAAGAATTAAGAAAAGCAAATATGATGTTAAAATTAAAGAAATGTGAATGGGCGAAAAAGAATGTAGAATATTTGGGACACATAGTAGGAACAGATGGGTTAAAACCAGATGATAAGAAAATAGAAAAGATTAAAAATTTAAAACTGCCAAAGAATATCAAACAAATAAGAGAAATAAATGGATTATGTTCATATTATAGAAAATTTGTAAAAGGATATTCAAAAATAGTAAAACCAATAATGGAATTAATGAGAAAGAATGTTCCTTTTGTGTGGACAGATAAACAACAAAAGCATTAGAAGAATTAAAAGAAAAATTAATAAATTATCCAATATTACAACATCCGAATTTTGAAAAAGAATTTATATTAATAACAGATGCATCAGGAGAAGGATTAGGAGCTATATTAGAACAATTAGATGAAAATAATAGAGAAATAGTTATTAGTTATGCGAGTAGAAGTTTAGTAAATGCAGAAAAGAGGTATCTGATAACAGAATTAGAATGTTTAGCAGTATTTTGGGGAATAAAATATTTTCATAAATATTTATTTGGAAGAAAATTTAAAGTAATAACAGATCATGCAGCATTAAAAGGATTTATAAGTACATCAAAAGTTCCTAAAGGAAGAAGAGGA